TTCGCTTTTACTGACATGTCAAGTTTCTGCTAATGTTATGCAGTCCAATTACAGACATTTTTCGCAGACATCTGAAATCTGGCATCTCTGCACAAGAGTCAACACTTCCAGCTGTCTTATGGCAATGATGCCCTCATAGTCTTCAGGGCTTCGCATATCCGCCGATTTTCGGCCCGTAAACCATTTAAACTTCTCAACACATCAAGATGTGTTCGTTGGACGTGTGTCCTGCAATCCTTCTCTAATCTTTGAGCACTTGTGGTTATTGCTGTGATGAGCTATAATTTCGCTGCTAAAGCAAGTTTAGAAATTTTCTCTTGTTATTTACATAAATGGAAGATTCCTCCCAACGCTTTCAAATCTCAACTTATAGTTAATATTCCCACATAAGCCTTCCCATACACGAACTGTATCCCAGATGGGTAAATATCCCACAAATGGTTTGGATGATACCCCGAACACGTCGTTATGCTCTCTTTTATGGTTATTTTTATTAGGGTTGAGCTTCCTTTTTGAAATATAGTACTATATTTCAAAAAGGAAGCTCAACCCTAATAAGTAGTCACATAGACACTATGAACGGAGTTCCAATTTCCTGGTTAAACCAAGTGAAATATCTTGGATTAGTACTTGACCAAACATTAACTTTTAAAGATCACTTTGAGACCATTCAAGCCAAAGGTAACAAATAGGGGAAATGGCTCTAATGTTGGCCAATGGATCTAAGATTGGGCCCATCGCTAAAAATCTGCTATTTATCAATTTTATCTAGATGAACGCCTGATGTAACGGTACTAATGGATATTTTTGGTCACTATTAACAATTTTGTCGATTGCTGAATTTATGTATGGGCCCAAATTAGGGGCATTTAGTCCGACATTACATCCATTTCCCCTATTATACATTATTTATCTGTCAGCATAATTCGGTGCTTTTATCTTTTAGCGGTAGATGGCGAGTCTGTGTCTATCACTTCTCGTTAGCATAAGAAAAGGGTAGAGAACTGCTTCGAAATAGGCGCCCATTTCCGTCATATCAAGGAGAAACATTAAATATATCAATTATGTTCGACGTAAACGAATCAATCATAAGTTTGGTACGATAGTTTAGTTCAAAAGTAACAAAACAAAGTCCATGAGAACTTTTAACATAATTATTTACATTTAGAGGAAACTGTGGCAATATGGCCAATGGGGCAATGTGGTCACGCGCTTAAAACCCAACTTATTGAACATATTTTACAAAAAAGCTTGCCGCCTACTTCAACTATCCATTTTATTTAAGTCTAACAAAATACTTTTCTCTAGAGCAAATATTCGAAAAATAATAGACTAGCTCAAAATGTCAAAACTGTTATAAGATTTCGAACCAAAAAATAAGGTCTATCAGTAGTTTCTTATAACTTATCGTTGATATTCCTTCAGCAGCTTTATAAATGGTTATTGGTTTCTTATATGACACATTGCTTTTCTAGATTTCAATAAACATTAAAGATTATCTTAAAAAAAATATAACTTCAGTCCATTCGGGGCAATGTGAGCACCACTGAAATTACAACTTAAATTCTTCGATTTTCCATTATTCCTTTTATAAATATGACTGTATCATATGAAGTCACGTGTTGAAACAGCTGCTTTGGTGAAAAATCAGTCATTCATAAAACTGAAAAAAATAAAGCTTTAAATAGGCAGTAGTTCTGAAATTTATATTGTTTCTGTTAAATGTTTTTATGCTAAAACTGTTCATTGTTGACCCTTCATAAAGCGTCAAGAGCAGTCTTGTAAGTGTTCACCCTAGTCGACATATTTTCTGTGATAATCGACTGCCTTTGCTTCCGACACTTGCAGAACAAGCTATCCAATTACAGTACCAAACCAAAATGTCATATGACTGGCTCTGTCATACGACACTGTTTCCAAAGACCGTCACGAATGTATGTATTTTAGTTTTTCTCATAATAAGAGCTGCTAATGTTGTGCTTGTGTGAATTCTGAAAACAGCAAGCAAAAGATGTCCTAGTAATAACATTTCTGATCAGAAATGGTTTAATTTACACCAAATTGAGGAATTAGAACGAAATCAAACATGTAATATGATAGTTATTTGAAAATTTTCTTTTTGCTCGAATGTTGTTCTACCTTTTGTGTTGTGTAAGAGAGACGACGGTAGAGCATAAGAGTACAAGTGTTTTTACAGACTGTCGCGCATGACAACGAAGCGAGTGTCGTAAAAAACGTCAACAGTTTCAACCCTGGTCAAGCGAACATAACATCAAAGATATCTAATTAACAAGATATCCCACTAATCAATTCCTCATACAAGCCATATAATTACCACCCGTATGAGATCGCAGTGTCATCTGTTGAGTTCACATTGAAACTGTTGGGAGTTCCCCGTCAACTTCACCACCTGGGCTCAATAACTGACAGGTGTCAGCATGAAAGATGTCAATGCGGACGTTGATGATCAGCCAAGGAAAGAGGACGATATCATCCTCGAAGTCATTATCATTATATTGCGATAGCAAGATTCTTACTTGTTTGTGATTTGTGAAACACTTGAGAAAACAATCACACATCCAAGCGCGCATCGTGATGTGCTTGTAATATGTTTTGCTTTCGAGCGAAAGAGTTTCCAATATACCACCGGTATCAGTAAGATGCAAATCTCTAATAGTAATTGATGATTTGCGGAGCTGGTGCTCAAAAGAATCTTAATAATCATAGAAGAAACCATGGGAAAAGCATTCACTCTCTCTAAAGAATTATTCCAACACCCCAGTCACTGGAAATGCAACGTATCGAAATCATTGCTAAACGTAATAAAATATGCCGTCTTCTTTGGCCAACGCAGCACGCATTCTATTCAAAAATTACATAGGAATAATCATTACTTTCCTATTTTATAACATAGGGTTACGGTATGTAATGTGGGTCTAGTCCTTTCATTCGGCCTATCACGCAAATAAATAATTAATTAAGGAATATTACACAAAAAATAAGGAAAATATTGATCACTGATGATTGATAAATGTGTACCACACACAAATCAATTTATATCACAACATTTCAATACATTTTCAGCTCTCGTAAGTAATAAAACTGGTTGAGAATATCACTCTGTTCGGAGTTTTTAGCCGCCATGACTTCTAAGGTTAAGATGGGAAGGTTGCACTGACGATCATCAAATGGCCTGATTATGGCATTTATTGAATGGAATTACCTGATAATACACACTAGACGTAAAACTCACAGTTACTGTTTGAATATTTTATGTTTATTTTAATTGTTTAACAACGTTTTCACAAGTAAATCATGGACCCAACTTTAGGGACACATTTCTTTTCTATGTTCCTAACTTTGGCCCATGAAATTCATTTGACAGCATATAGCAATAAGAGTAACGTCAACAATGTGGTTTGCATTTGGATGATAAGGAACGAACAGGAAGGGAGATTTTTTCTGCCAAATCTGTATAATGAACATCACAATGTTTTGATTTAGATATTCTGCGGTCGAAAGACGATAAGCGAAATTTTTAATTTTTAATTTTTAACTTGAGTGATTTAATGTAGTTTTCGTAAAATTTTCTCTAAGAAATGTTTTGAGGAATGAAGAGTATTAAGTTAACAGTGATAGTGATAAAAAAAATACATAAGAAAACGTTACCAAGAGCGTTTTTTTTGAGAATCAAACAGGATAGGACGAAGTTGCATCCATAAATAGACCCAATTTGGGGACAATAGACCGATATTACATACATTTCCCTGGTGAGTTTTTGTCTTAAAAAAAGTAAGTTTTTCAACTTTTTGCGGTTCCTGATAGCAAACGACATGATAAGCATATCTAAGCATACCATTTAGCAGTAGAATATCGTTTGCAGGTAAATTAATTGATGAGTTATGATTAAAAACGTAATCTATGGCTGCATATTAGACCGAGGTTAGGGACGTATACCCTAGGAAGTATTTGTCAACGCTGGTGAAAGCAAACGCAAACGGAAGTAGAAGAAGCTGAATGAAGACGATGAATGATGACACCGCTTCGTGTTTTGATTTGCGCTGTACCGTCCGTTCAGTTGTGTGGGTTCGTACATGTATAGATGTTGGTGTGCGTGTTTTCTTCTAACGCTGCAGTTCAACGTTGTCTCGTCACAAACCGTTTGGCGCTGTTATCTGTCTCTAAAAAATCCAAAGAGTGAAGAGGGTCTGATAACATTCTTACCCGTTGTTTACAAGGTCGCTTATTCTTGCAAAATATTAAAAAGTTTACTTTTAATATTCAATTTGTATTCATGATGTGAACAGGCCTTCAGACTATCAATTTGGTTAAACATCATTCTAATTTTCCACTGAATTTTGTATGATTAGTGATGATTTTCTTAAAGTGGCCAAACTATCCCACTTTCCCCTATTCTTCTCGAAAACAAAAGAAGCGCTTCAAGCCAATAACTTTTTTTCTCTTCTGCTTTCAGCCGTATGCCGAAATGAGACCAATGTATTTCAACGAAATTGAAACTCTTATGACGGAATTGGAATGCAAAAGCTGTGTTAGATTTTTAACAATATCTCAACAATAAGTAAATAAATATAGAAGTCATTTTTAATACATCATTTCAGGTTTGTTCAAACCCGTTCTGAAAAGAGAGTCTCATGAATGCTCTTACAAAACTCAACTGTTTCGCTATATAAATAGGAGGCTTAAAACTGCATCAAGCCTTGTGAACAAGGAAATCCCGGATTAAGTGTCATCATTTACGGCGTAACACTTCCCCATAGTTTCATTCATACCCACTGAAACTTTCCAAAAACCTGGGTACTTCCACCCAATAGGTAGCTAAACCGTCAGCTTTTCCGCATAGGTAGAATTCTGCTCCCCTCCGGTATGAATCAGCAAATGGACTAATACTCTGAGACGTATTCTCAATGAATGTAGTGCCTGAAAATTGATGCCCGCTGAATGTAGTGTGTCCTAATCATTTTAATCAAAGTGCAACAAACATGAAGATTACAACAGTTTTGTGGTATATCGCGCTAGTTTTCGAGTCCAAAAGTGTCAACGCTTCCGTCCAGAACCATGACTACGTTATCGGAACCGAGCTGCTCAATCAACAAACCGGTCAAATACCTCACAACGAGCGGGGCTTCGTGTGCCCGGAACCGAACCCGGCCATCGATTGCAGCTGCATGTACGCCATCACCGATTACGAGATCCAGTGTCCGGTGGTGAATCCGGAAATCACCGTCAAGATCAAGCCCCAAGCGTACGCGCAAGTACAGTGCTACGACCGGCACGATCTGCACGCCCTTCCAGCGCTGAAGTCCGGCAATACCACGCAAGTCAAGGTGATCCACTGTCCTCTACCGGAGGACAAGTCTATCATGCAGCTGGTAAGTTTCCTTGGCGTAGAAAATGTTAAGGACTTTTGGTACCAAAACTACGGTAGGAGCCTCGGAATGCGGATAATGCGACCACACTTTGAGGGCATGCAGGGTCTGGAGAAATTGTACCTCAGTGCCGGAGTTGACTACATCCAACCGGACTTGTTTGCCGATCTGACCAACTTAAAGTGGTTAATTCTACGAGGTAACAACCTGAAGCGTTTGGCAAGCGTGTTTGATAATTTGACTGAATTGGTAATTCTGGAGCTCGGTGCCAATCAGATTACGGAACTTGAAGCCGGACTCTTTTGCAAGCAAGGTAAGCTTCGGCACTTGAATCTCTGGCACAACGAGTTGCGAACTGTCACGAAGGAGACGTTACGTGGAGTGGAGTTGCTGGAAGAATTGGATTTGTCTGTGAATCTCCTGGAATCGATTGAAGTCGATGTATTTGCCCAGCTAATGGAGTTGTCTGCTCTGAATATTGGATTCAATCAGCTTCGCAGCATTCCTGCTGGATTATTAGCGGAAAACCACAAATTGAAGGAGTTCAAATTTATCAACAATCGCGTACCGATAGATGTCCTACCAGGTGATCTGTTCAGCAATCACCCGGAATTGAAAACCGTAATTGTCAGTCGAAGCGGGTTGAGCCAAGTTCCGGGTTCACTATTCTACGGATCTACCGGAATAAAACAAATTGATTTGAGTTACAATCGTTTGGGATTACTACCGGGGAAACTGCTACGCGATCAGCATTGGCTTCAGGAAGTGAATCTGTCGTTCAACGAACTGGAAGTGATCCCGGAAGAATTGTTCGAGAATACGGCAGAACTGGTTTCGCTGGATCTGTCGTTCAATCGATTGCGTAATCTCTCCGCAAGAGTGTTTGCTTCACTGGATAAACTCACCGAATTGCATCTGGAGCACAATCTACTGCAGGCAATCGATTTGTTTACATTTACCGGCACCGGAAGTTTGGAAAAACTTTACATGCAAAACAATCATCTAGACTATCACGGTAGCAACGATAAATCTCCGTTCCAGTACATGAACAACCTGCGCATCCTGAATCTCAAGAACAACAGCATCAGCACAATTCTGCACGACTGGAACTATAACACCCTACAGCTTCGAGAGCTGGACCTAAGTTACAACAACATCGTCCAGTTATCGTACCTCAATCTGCACTTCATATCCCGAGATATTCGAATCGACCTAAGCCACAACCAAATCTCCCGCATTGACATGAAAGAGTACCGAATACCCGCTTTGAAACGCCCAGGTAAATCCGGTAAAATTCAGGTCAATATCAACGCGAATCCACTAGATTGCAACTGCCACATTCTATCCTTCGTGCAGTACCTGCAAAGTGACAAGGTGTCCACTAGACGAATTCAATTTTCCTCTGACGATCTTCACTGTATTCAACCAGTGCATCTCCTTGGTACGCAAGCCAATCATCTATCAACCAGGGAACTGGTCTGCCAACTGAACCAGCCAATCTGCCCAGCTAATTGCAGCTGTTTCCAACGACCCATCGATTACGGAGTCATCGTCAACTGCTCCGGACTTGAACTCATGCAAGTTCCTAGCTTACCTCAGCCCGACACGTTTGGCTATGGTTTCATCGAGCTGCACGTCCAAGACAATCTACTTTCGGATCTTCCTACGGAAAACCTGGAAGGCTTCACAGCGGTTGCCGAGCTGTATGCTCGCAATAACTTTATCAAAAGCCTACAACCAGAGAATCTTCCAGGTAATCTCCGGGTGCTGGATTTGTCAATGAACAAACTGATGTCACTGGATTTCCGAACAATTCACGCACTTAATGGCAGTCATCAGCTGGAAGGATTGCAACTGGGAGGGAACCCCTGGCAGTGTGATTGCGATTCGTCGCAATTCCTGAATTTCGTTCAACAAAGCTTCCAGTTGATAACGGACATCAACCAAATAACATGCGACAGCGGAGAACGGCTTGTTGCCATTTCCGTAAGTGACCTGTGCAAGGAACGGTGGATCATGATCATCGCCATCTGCCTGAGTATCCTGATGTTGGGTCTCCTCGTCGGGATCTTGACGTCCCTGTGCTTTGCCTACCATAATGAGATCAAAATTTGGCTCTTCAACCGCAATCTGCTGATGTGCTGTGTATCGGAACACGAACTGGACAAGGACAAACAGTTTGATGCGTTCATATCCTACTCGCACAAGGACGAGGATTTTGTGGCGAATACTCTGGTTCCGACGCTGGAGCAGCCGCCGATGAACTTCCGAACCTGTTGGCACGTTCGCGATTGGATGCCGGGCGAGTTGATCGCCGAGCAGATGACCAATTCCATCAGCGAATCCCGCCGAACGATTGTGGTGCTATCGAAGAGCTTCCTGGAATCCGTTTGGGCCCGGATGGAGTTCCGGACGGCGCATCTGAACTCGATTGCCGAGCGGCGCACCCGGGTGATTGTGATCCTGTACGAGCACGTCGGGGACATTGAGCAATTTGATGCGGATTTGAGGGCGTACCTGAGGATGAATACCTACATCCGGTGGGGTGATCCGTGGTTCTGGGATCGGTTGAGGTACGCAATGCCGCATTCGCCGAAAGCGTTGGAAGGTGTGAGGCCTACCAGGAGCTACGACATTGGGGCGATCGAAGATAGGTTGGAGCTGTCAAAGCCACAGATGATCGCAATGGAAGAGTATCGAGGGTACGTGAATCCGACGTTTAGCCGTTCGTTGGGAATGGCGATGGATGAACTGGGAGGTAATGTTAACTTTGGGCTGATTGAACGGATTGACAGTAGGTGTTTGGATGAGTTGTTCATTGTTATCACAAAAGAGAGTGAGGTTTAAGTAGATCGTTGAATGTTGGGAAGAATGAGAATGATTTAATAGCAATATGTAGCATAATAGCCAAATGTAAGACTCGGGTTACTGAAGATAATAAAAAGTAATAGGTACAAGTTATCGTTGAACACTTTTGATTTGCAAGTTAATCCGAAATACAGTAATTCCGTGAAAAAAAGCATAATCGAAAAAAAAATTGCTCCAAGTTTGCTCAAATCTTGTATATTCATTCCTTGTCGAAAATTTTTACACAATTTATTTTTTATTATTTCACTCTTAGGGTGTACCTTTCTGAGCTAGGGTGGTCCAAAAAATATATTTTTTTCCCTCTATACCCAACATTGAAAATGCATGACTTTTTAACTACTGAACCGATTTTCGATTTCTTTTCAGAAAATGCAAGGTATTTAAATGGGCTATGTAGAAAAAATGTGAAACTGAAGGGTAAGTGAATTTTAATATACTAAATAAAATTAATGAATCGCACACACACAACCAACCAAACCCTAGTTTTTTTTTATATAATGTAAAAATAACGCTTTCCTGAATTTTTTACTTCCAATTACACTTTTACTTAAAAATTCAGAAAGGCGTTATTTGTCGTTTTTTTAGATATATTTTTTTACCATACATAAATTTGGTATTCTTAAATTCTTCCTTCCTGTTCGAGCTTGGGTATCCTTGCAATTTTGTTGAAATACTTTTCGAACTATCGTGGAATTGGAATATAGAATTTTCCTCAAAACTCATTTAGCATTCTCATCAAAATTTTCTAAATGATTCTTCAAAGAACCAGAATTCTCAAATTTCAAAGCCCAAGGGTATTATTTTTTGAAACCTTGAAAAATACGCCATGTTTTTAATTTTTAAAAGATAAAGAATGTAAATAGTAGTATAGGATAGTATAGTATAACTTTAAAATCTTTAAAATTTTCTCATGTAATCTCCAAGTCCAATTCCGAGATCTCAAATTAACATGCGTAGATTTCATTGTTTTAAATAAGAATGTATATGTTCAATCTATCACATTATAACCACAGACAAACAGACATGACGCATTGAATATTTCTCAATGTGAAACATCGTTGCTAAAACACTACCGCCATCTGTTGAGTACACTGTGACGAGCAGAACGCTCAACAGATGGTGGTAGTGTGTAAAAGTCAAACGCAAGGGAATTTACTAAGCCCGCAACAGGTGACGCTACTAGCAACTATGAAATATTTAAATTCCCCGTTAAACAACTTTCGAGAGCTATGTCTGTTTGTCTATGTTATGACATGGGTCATTACACTGGGCCCAATACCGTTCGGTTTTTAATTAAATAATTCTGACTGAGACTTTGATGTTATGCCTCAGAACATCCCGGTGGCGCCGACTGGGATTGAACCCAGGCCTGCTGGGATGAGAGGAATCCACGCTAAGCCACCGGCACCGCTATCCCTGAACATCTATAGACTACTGTTCAAACTATTCATATGTTTAAAACTTTCTAACATTTTCAGGAATTTTCAGGATTTCCGCGAAAGGCCTGGAATTTTGTAAAGTTTTTCAAAATGTTGATGACGTTGAACCACCATGTCCTGGATTTGACTAAACAAACCCTAACAGAAACTTTCCTAAAAGTTTGAATGTTCATGAAGTCATTGGACCTGACATTAAGATATCCTAACATTACTGAATATCGGTAGATCTAGCTTTCCTGAAGTTCTCAGAACTTCAATAAAGTTTCCATAGTTTTTCACCAGTTCTCTGAACCTAAAGAAAATTTATAAATGTTCCTGCAGATTTCCTAGAGCTGTAGAAACCACCCTGAAGATCTCAAAGCTTCCCTGAAGTTCCCGAAATGTTTCAGAAGTTTCCTTACTATCCCACAGTCTGTTCCCGAGTAGCACACTTCCATCACAATAAGTTACAGCAACTTATTTATGACTGAAATAAGTCGTATATAAGTTTCTACAATTGATTTATGACAAGCTTGCTACTAGGGTTCATTCCTCGGAACATCTTCAAAATTTCTACAATGTTTGTGAACCACGCTGCAGATCTCTAATCATTCCTGAAGTTCTTGAAACTTCCCGGAAATTCTTGCTTCTGATAGTGTTCAAGGAATTGTCCCGAAATTTATAAAACTGTCATAAAGATATTTAAACTTCCCGACGCTTTCTACAGTTCCGTGAATTTTCCGGATCATCTGTGATGCTTCCGACATTTTTCTTATGTTCCTCAAACATCCCGGATGATCTATAGACTTTGAAACTGACCTGAATTCTCAGAACTGCCCAAAGTTTAGTACCCAAGTAAAAATTTTGGTGGAGTGAGTGTTCTGTAGACCATGCTTTAAACTTGTAGTATGCTATAAAACCTCGATAAAACCTGCAATGTTACTTGGGTAGTTTCCCTTAAGATCGTTATAATCAACTGAATTTTTGTGAACTTCAGTCTGAATTTTTGTCAACTTCAGTAAAGTTCTGAAATTTTCCTGAAGTTATTGGAGCTTCACTGAAGCACTTTTATCTTCACTGAAGTTCTAAAAGTTATCCAGTAATCTATGAAGCCTTGAAGCTATCGGAATTTACGCTACAAGATATTAAAACCTTCATGTTGTGCTGGACGTTCCTAAAGTTTTTGGAACCACCCTAAAATTTTCGGAATTTCCTTTAAATTATCGTAATTTCCATGAATTTCTCAGGACTTCTAGACGGTTCCCCCAATTTTTCTAATGTTAATTGTGATTAAGATAAAGCTTTCAAAATTTTCCATGATTCATGGAACTCTCAACTTCTTTGAAGTATTCTGGACATTCTTGGAACATCATAAAGTGCAATTTTTCTGAAGTTAATCAAACCTGAAATTCAAAGCTATCCTGAAGTATTCGGAATTGAGGGAAGTTCCGAATACTTCAGGATAGCAAATTTGGAAATCATGATGATGATCATGGAACTGCCCCGAAGTTCTCAGAAGTTTCCCGATGCTCTAAACTTTCCTAAAGTCCTTTGAACTTACCTGAAATTTTCTAAAGTTTCATGAACCTCATGAAAACTTCCTGAAATGGATGATCTTCATCTAAATTCACGAAATTTTCCTTATATTCATGGAACTGCACTGAAGTTCTTGGGACTCAACCTTAAAAGTCTCTAAACTTTCAAAAAGTTTCTCGAAACTTTCCTGAAGCTTTTGAATGTTCTCTGAATGTTTCGGGTATTCCATAAATTTCTTGGAACATCTCTAAAGTTTTCGAAATTCATCTAAAAAAAACTCTGAACTTCCCTGATTTTTTCTGGAGTTCCTTGAATTTCTCTGTACATCTTTGAAGTTCTTGTAATTTTCTCGAAATAAATGGTACTGTCCTGTCCTGACGTACTTTGATATGTGTAACTCTGATTTCTTCTGAATGATTCCTCCAGAATGATTCCTCCAGAATGATTCTTCCAGAATGATTCCTCCAGAATGATTCCTCCAGAATGATTCCTCCAGAATGATTCCTCCAGAATGATTCCCCCAGAATTATTCCTCCAGAATGATTCCTTCAAAATGATTCCTCCAGAATGATTCCTCCAGAATGATTCCTCCAGAATGATTCCTCCAGAATAATTCCTCCAGAATGATTTCTCCAGAACAGTCTTGTAAGCGGTCACGGTAGTCGACACATTTTCTGTGATAATCGACTGCTTTTGCCTCCGACACTTGGAAAACAAGCTATCATAGTACAGTACCAAACTCAAATGTCATACGACAGGCTCTGTCATACGACATTGTCGCCGAAGACCGTCACGAATGTATGTATTTTAGTTTTTCTCATAATAAGAGCTGCTGATGTTGTGCTTGTGTGAATTCTGAAAATAGCAAGCAATGATGTCCTAGGAATAACATTTCTGATCAGATATGGTTTAATTTACACCAAATGGAGGAATTAGAACGAAATTACTCATGTAATGATAGTTATTTGATAATTTTCTTTTCGCTCGAATGTTATTCTACCGGTTATGTTGTGTGAGAGAGACGACGGTAGAGCATGAGTGTAGGAATAAAAACAGACTGTCGCGCACGACAACGAAGCGAGTGTAGTAAAAACCGTCACCTGTTTCAACCCCTGCTCCAGAATGATTCCTCCAGAATGATTCTTCCAGAATGATTCCTCCAGAATGATTCTTCTAGAATGATTCCTCAAGAATGATTCCATCAGAATGATTCCTTCAGAATCATTCCTTCAGAATGATTCTTTCAGAATGATTCCTCCAGAATGATTCCTCCAGAATGATGCCTCCAGAATGATTCCTCCAGAATGATTCCTCCAGAATGATTCCTCCAGAATGATTCCTCCAGAACGATTCCTCCAGAATGATTCCTCCAGAATGATTCCTCCAGAATGATTCCTCCAGAATGATTCCTCCAGAATGATTCCTCCAGAATGATTCCTCCAGAATGATTCCTCCAGAATGATTCCTCCAGAATGATTCCTCCAGAATGATTCCTCCAGAATGATTCCTCCAGAATGATTCCTCCAGAATGATTCCTCCAGAATGATTCCTCCAGAATGATTCCTCCAGAATGATTCCTCCAGAATGATGCCTCCAGAATGATTCCTCCAGAATGATTCCTCCAGAATGATTCCTCCAGAATGATTCCTCCAGAATGATTCCTCCAGAATGATTCCTCCAGAATGATTCCTCCAGAATGATTCCTCCAGAATGATTCCTCCAGAATGATTCCTCCAGAATGATTCCTCCAGAATGATTCCTCCAGAATGATTCCTCCAGAATGATTCCTCCAGAATGATTCCTCCAGAATGATTCCTCCAGAATGATTCCTCCAGAATGATTCCTCCAGAATGATTCCTCCAGAATGATTCCTCCAGAATGATTCCTCCAGAATGATTCCTTCAGAATGATTCCTCCAGAATGATTCCTCCAGAATGATTCCTGCAGAATAATTCCTCCAGAATGATTCCTCCAGAATGATTCTTCCAGAATGATTCCTCCAGGATGATTACTCTCAAATAATTA